GATATGCTTGAATGAAGAGAAAAGTAAAAAATAAATTAAAATCAGAAGAATATAAAATAAAAAATTTCTTTTGTTCATTTACATGAATGAAAAAGAAACTGAAAAATAAGTAAATTATATAAAAAAAATTAATTGTAAAAACCAAATTTTAATCTAAAAATTTAAAACTTTTATAATTTTTTATATTTTTCTATACAAATAAATGTTTGTTTTTTAAATAAATGATAACTAAAAAGGTAGCCGCTCCTTTTTCTATAAATCACTCTAATGAGAGAAATATCTTTTTAGTGGATTCTACTAAAAAATATTTTTTTCCTAATGTAGTCTCCATCAAGCATTTCTTATTTTTATTTATTTCTCTTTTCTCTATAGTTTTTTTTTTCTTAAATCTATCCAAATAAATTATAAGTCTATTGCCGCTCTCTTTTTGGAGCCAGATTTCACGTGCGGAGGAGTTCCTTCTGCCATTCCTTCCTTACTTGTTTTACTCACTGTGATAGGTTTGGCGTGTCATGAAAATTGATTTGAAAAAAAAAGTTATATAAATCATTTAAAAACTGAGTTATTATTTTTTCATTCCCATATTAAATATAATCTCTTATTGTCATAAGCGTAATTTTAACACAAAAGAACTTATTTTCCTTAAGAATTTTGATTGTGAAATTCTTAATTATAAATTATTTTAAATACAAAGAAATTATTTCAAATCTAAAATAAAAATTTTAATTGAAATGAAGTTAGCCATGTAGATATTTTTTTATTAGAAAATACATCTTTGTTTTTTATCCAAACAAATGTTTTTTTTAATTGAGAAATGATCAATTTAATATAGAATGTGTAAAAAAAGAAAGAAAATAAAAAAAGTAAAATTAGAAAGTAAGAGATCTAATAAATTATGCAATAAAAAACGAATAAAAATTTGACATTAAATAAATTACCTGTGAAAATATAATAATTAACTCAAAGTAAAAGTAATATTTTAACAATCTATATTTTTATTTAATTTTATAATATTTTTTGTCCTTTGTTTTTTATTTTATTTTAATCCCGTTTGTTAATTGTGATAATATTTTTACCATCAACAATTTATCTTTTGTTAATAATAGAAAGATTTTATTGACTAAATAAAAGATGAAAAGCTAAAATAAAGCAAAAATAATAATTTTGCTTTATCCTAAATCAACAAGCAAGCAGTGATTTACGTAAAAAATAAAAAAAGGAACCTCGAAATTGCAGATTGATAGAGAACGTCACTTGTCAGTACCATACCCAATCATACAGATACACGTCAACACCTAAAACGACCTGGGGCGGCTGAAAACAAATAAAGTGACCTTGGGCCTTGGCGGCTCCTCTCCTCCAAGTATACTTTCTAATAATGTTTTTAAGAGTTTTATTAACCTTTGATAAACAAAAGTTCACTAACCATAATTTTTAATTTTTTTTATGTATACTTAAAAGGAACAATAAAAATACATAAATGATAGATTTTTATTTAATTAAATTATTATTTTGTATTAATATATTAATTATTATATATTTTATTTTTTATTTATTGTGTTTTAATATGAATTTTTAAATGTTGACTTTTTTTTTGTATTGATATATTTTTAAATTTAGATTGCACGTGATCTTTATTGATTTTTTGTATAAAAAAGTTTAATTTAATAATTTTAGTTTTATGTGATTTTTAATTTACAAATTTTAGTAATTATATTGTTCAAAATCTTAATATAAAATTATTTTCATGATTTTTTATTAATTAAATAATCATACACCACTAAAAGCATAGATTGAAAATATTTAATAATTTAAAGTATAAAAATTGATGACATTACTAAGTTTAGTTAATTATGTAAACAAAAATACTAACTCAAAATTCACTTAAGAGAACAGAATCGTATGCAAGTTAAATTAAGATGCAAATAAACATTCAAAATAATTATGCCATTTTCTGATATTTGTATTTCAACCCCATCCTTTATCTCTGCCAATCGCATATATAGTGTCCTGATGTTATAAGAGTTAAAGACCAAATTATTTTAAAACTAAGTAAAATTAATTTTGATATTTTAATTTAAATTATTATATATTATTAGAATATGCAGTTAAGTTAACTTCAATGATAAATTTTATATCAAAATACTGTGTTTGTAAAACAAACACGTACTTATTGATAACACTATTTGAAATATTATAATAACAGTTGTAAATATGTTTATTCTTAAAATGTAGTAGTACTGTTTGTAAATGATAAATTTGTAAAAGTTACTGTTATGATAAATAAACGATAATAGTTATATCTTTTGATTATTTTTTTATAATTTTTTCTACTCACATAAAAGTGATACGTATTTTTAAAGAGAATGGAAATTAAAAAATTTATTACAGTTTTCGAAAAATACATATGTGTTTTTTATGAATAACTGAATTTACATGCTAAGATGGAAATATATCATTTTTCTAAATGAATTGGTGATGTTGGGTGCGCAAAGACCAGGATCGGGGAATGTCAAGAGACTGCATGGATGTGCTAATTTTTAGGCACGAAATGAGTAAAGGCATTATTAACTTGACACATGACATCATATTATTAATAATTGGATTGAGTAAATATCAAATTTTGTAATTAATTTGAAACGTTTGCAAAGAGATTTTTTTATTATTATTAAAGATACTTATTATCCTTTTTTATTAATTTTGTTTAGAAATATTATTTTAGATGTTTTAAATTAATCTTAAAAGTTGATGTCAATTTTTTAAAAAAATTATGCAAAAGTACACGAATTTAACGAATACTTTATGAAAAAAAGAATTTGAATACAAAAACTTGGAATGATTTAATAATTTCCGATGTCCCAAAGGGAAACCTCTAGCCTTATTTTATAATGGTGAAAATGATGAATATTTAGTAATTAGAGTGGTTATTATAGATTAATTTCGGAAGCGGGTGTGGGTGGGGAATAATGTCAGTTGTGTTACTGAGCGACAAAAGCTGATTTGGTGTCATCGCTGAGGATCACTTTTACTCACTTTGCTTCTAAGTCATGCCATGTCCTAAATCCAATCCGAGACTGTAGCATCATGATCAAGGGTACTCGTGGAATTCCAACATTTCATTTTCAATCAGTTTTATACACTAGCAAATACTTATAAATGTCAAATACTTTACATGATGTTATTGCTTTTCTCTATTTCGAGAGGAAAAGAAAAAGAAAAAGAACACACACAAAACAACTCTACCAGGTCCACCAACACGGTGAAACTGGGAATTCCACAGCACGGATATATATAAATAAATTAACATTATTAAGGTTAATATATCAGAAATATCATTATAACTTTTAATCACAAAATAATAACTAATTAAATTCCTTTAAATATATTTAATAAAAAATACACTCCATGAGCATGCTGATACTTACAAAATAAGTAATATAATATTTATCTTTACTCATTTTATAAATATGCGAGCACCCGTTACAAATACAATCACAAATGTCTAAGAACACATGTACTTTTTTTACATTCTTAAGCGAAACAAGTGGGTTAGGTTTTGTTTGACTGAATACTATGTATTGTTAGGGCCTGGAGGGAGGGGACATGCATATATAGCATTCTAAAATCTAAATGCCACTGATAAATTCATCCGTTTTTTTATTTGCCATGTGAGTCACGATGGCTGGGCAATCGTGGAAACAAGAACGAAGTCATTTTCCTTTTCTTTTTAGGATTTCATTAATTTTAACTTTTATATTAAAATTAAGCATTTAAAAATATTTTTAATAAAGAACAACACATTTATTAAATTATAAGCGATAATAAACATTTGTTCAAAAAATTATTATTATTAATGGTTGAAACTAAATCTTAAAGATTGTATTTTTTTCTAGTCTTTGTTTTTTAAAACCAACTATGAAGTAGAGTCATTGTCCGATTGTCGGAACAATTATGGCTTTCTTATTGCAATATTTTACGTTCCAGTTCAAATTAACCAAATGTAAGAAGTTTTAGATTAGATGATCGACCTCTGATTAAAGACGCATGCGTGTTAGTGTATTCATGCATTTCACGCACAACACGAAATTTGTATTAGGAGTACATGTCCACAACTCTTTCAAAGTTTCACTTAACCTTTGCCCTGACTTGTGTAGATAGATAATTCATTATTATTAGAGCCAATCGAAGAAGTGTTTATAAAGCTTCAGCAAACATAAAGTTAATTTTTTAAAATTCCGTTTAACGTTTGAGTTAAATTTAAACATAAAATTAAATATTTACAATATTAAATAATTGTGCAAGGAAGTGTTTTGAAATTTGAAACAAGAATAGGGAGGCGATCCTGTGAATCTGCAATGGCATTGCCTTTTGATTTTATTTAATTTTGCATTGTGATAATTAGAAAACAGAGAGCGGGAAAAGTAAACGGTAGTTGGGAACAGGGAAATCCAAAACGGGGAGCGATGAACACAGGCACAATGGGCAGCGAGGTTAATTTACTTGAAGACTTGATCTAGTATCCAGTTTTCCACTCCCTTGTACCGAAAGGGGAAAAGAAAAAGTTAAAAGAGAAGGAGAACTTTTTTAAGAAAGATAGATTGTGGTTTCCTAGGTGTTCACGAATTTTGGTTTCCTGTGGGAAAGGGTAACAGTAAGACTTGTATGACATGCCAATGATGCTATATACCAACCTTGTTTCAGTTATTTTCTTGTCCCTAAAAAAATAATTTGAATAAATGGTAATATATATTATATATTGAGGTATAGGTATGAAAAATTCACTTATTTATGAGCCAGTACCGTTATGCATAAAAACATAAAAACGTATTTGAAATGTATAAATACAAGAGAGAGAGAAATAAAAGTCAATAAGGGGGAGAGAGAGAGAGAGAGAGAAATGGAGGGACGCTTTCGCCCCTAATTCAATACTTTACCAAACTCCCTATCCTCTCCATCTCCACTTTCAATTTCATCCCTTTCCTTCTTCCCCCACATCACCTCTGTTTTCTGATATCTCTCTCCCTCTTCCTCGGGTATTCACTCTCTCTGCATGTCAACTTTTCGAAACAAAAATAACCGGCTATTTGTTTAAGTCCATGTTTTTTAATTATCTAAACATATATTGTTTATTTTTTCTGTTAGGCCAAAAGAGAAATGGAGTGCGTGGAGGCAGCGTTGAAGACCAGTTTTAGAAAAGAAATGGGCGTAAAACTGAGCCCCCAAAGCTTCATTGAGGAGTTAAGCGTGCAAAATGAGGCCTCCTGCAATGAGTTTTTCGTGGACGACCTCCTTGACTTCTCGAACGTGGAAGAAGAACCAGAGCAGCAACAACAACAACAACAAAAGGAACAAGATTCTGCAAGTGTTTGTGTCTCCCTTCAACAAGGGAACCAAAGCCACGAAGTTTGTGACTCTTTGAAAAACGACTTCGCCTCCTCTGTGCCCACAAGCGACCTAAGCGTTCCGGTACTTTAATGTTGTCAAACACAGTTCAGTTTTGTTTTGCATTTTCCATGTTGGTGGTTGACGAAAGTTTCAATTTTTACAGGCGGATGACGTGGCGGACTTGGAGTGGTTGTCTCATTTCATAGAGGATTCCTTCTCGGAATTCTCTGCGGTCTTCCCCACCGTAACTGAGGTAACCAAAGACCCAGAGCCTGAACCGGTTTTCACATATCCATGTTTCAAAAGCCCGGTTCAGACCAAGGCAAGAAGCAAGCGAACCAGGACCCGTGTTCCGCTTTGGCCACTGGCTTCACCTTCCTTCACGGACTCATCCACCGCAACCACCGCCACCTCCTCCTCCTCCTCTTCCTCCTCCTTCCCCTCCAGTCCCTTGCTTATTTACACCAATTTAGCCCAAACCCTTGACCAAGTTTCCTCCGAGGCAACCCCTCCAGTGAAAAAACCGAAGAAAAAAACATCTTCCGAGAGTGCAACAACCCAGGCGCCACGACGGTGCAGCCATTGCGGTGTGCAGAAAACCCCCCAGTGGCGAACTGGGCCGCTCGGCCCAAAAACGCTTTGCAACGCATGTGGGGTCCGGTACAAGTCGGGTCGGCTTTTACCCGAATATAGGCCCGCTTGTAGCCCCACATTCTCCAGTGAATTGCATTCGAACCACCACCGTAAAGTGCTGGAGATGCGGCGGAAGAAGGAGACAGTGGGTGGGGTTGAGACAGGTTTAGCCCCTACTCCTGTTGTTCCCAGTTTTTGATTTATTATTAATTATTAATTAAAGAAAAAGAAAGAACTAGGTAGAGATTAGGGGTTAGAGAAGGTAGCGCAGACTTAGACCCGGTTCAATGGGACCCGAGTTAGTGTACATTTTTTTCCTTGTATTGAATGCGGTAGGAGTTAGGCTTTGTAACTGATTAGGAAACTTTGATTAGTTGATATGCAACTCCTTTTACCTTTTTCTTTTTTTAAGCTTTAATTTGGGTTTTCTTTTTCTTTTTGGTTCCTAACATATTTAATGTAATAGGATTGTGGGTTAGTGGTTTTGAAATGAAACTGTGTTTGGTGGTGGCCGTTGAAAGGCATGAACTTTGTGAACGACATAACGCAAAGAGAAGTGGTTGTGTTAAGCGGCTTCTTGTGTCGTAAGATGGACGTACTTTGGGAAACCGAAAGCGTTTGGAAACTGTACAAAAGATGGATTGTATCGAAATCGAACGGCCCATCAACTCTTCTTTTGCCTTCATCACTCCCAACAAGTGTCGGGGCCTAGTAATCTTAAACTTGATTTGGACTTTTATGCGACACTAGATTTTGGACTCGGGCAACCACCGTTTATCAATGAAACAAGTAAACATTTAAGGATATTCTACCTCTCCCTTGTTCATTTTGTTTTAGGGCTTCTATTGGAAAAGTAAACACTCGTCCAGAGTGGATAATGCTATAGCAAAATAAGGTTTTGTTCGAATTGTTCCTCGCCATGTCCGTGGCCAAACAAAAAATATATATAATTCAAGGGGCAAATTGGAATCTCAATGATGTAAGTTTGTCACATCCGTTATTAAGTCATCTAGTAATTGTTGACGGGTAAGGAGAGAAAACTATAGCCAAAAACACCTCAATGTTCCACCTATCCCACGCGGTATCTTTGCTAACGAATATATAGCTAGGTAATCAGCACATAGAAATCTTTCACAAGTTCGGCAAAAGGACATATAGTAGTCAAATTAGTTTTTTTGAAAACTAAGCACCAAGCAAAGCTGGAATTGTTGATGTGCATTGCCAGTAAAGTTAGATATTTTACCATTTTCTGTGGTTGATGCTCTGGCTATGAACCTATGACTATGTCTGAACTATTATCCCAAAGAAAGTGAATCAAATGAGTAATGATGATTCTCCATAATCAGTGTAGCATTTTGGTCATACCTTCGAAATAATAATCGATCTTAGAGAAAATTTTGATGATAAAATGTGACGGTTATACGTTATTTTCTTCCAATTTAAAGAAACGAGACTGCATAATGGTACCCATTTTAAGTCCTAACGCACTTCAAAATAATTATTGAACGGTTCATCAGGTAAGTAAGGAATCGTTGTGGAACAGATAAGATCAAAAAAGGGTGGAGGGTTACACATTGTTTTCAATTTACTCTAGGTTACTTCATTGGGTTTAACTTGAGTGTGTTAGAAGATAATCGATTATATGGACCGGTATATGTATTTGGTAGGGTATGTTTTAGTAGGTAGTCTTTCAAATTTTAATAATCAATGCAACGAACAGTTCGGTTATGGTGAATAAAGTTCTCACCTGACATTTTCATAGAGACCTTTATGAGAGTGATACTACCACCGGATCCCGATCGTATACAGTTATGTCCCTTAAATAATTTTTATTGGTTCATCATTTTAAAACAAAAGTTACAATATGAAGATTGAATGGAAAAATAATAAATTTACCGTGTGCTTTTTCTTTACAGCTCGAAAACGATTAAGAGACGATCGAGAGTAAATAAGCATTAAATTAAATTACAAATTAGATCCTCTCCTGCCCACTTTCCATCAATATTTCTGTGCAGAAAATGTATCCAACGGTTCACAATAGTCAAGCTTTTAAAATCCTGAAAAAGACCAACTCACGTAAACATAAAAGAAGGCTCTTTGATTCATCTGATGGTCCAAAAAGGCCAAACTCTCATTGTTCAACACAATGCAAAATAACATATGTCAAGAGAGAAATTATTAAGTTGTCTAGAACCATTATGTGTCAATGGTCTAGACCAACATATGATATGTCACACGATGATTGGTCAGAACTAAAAAATTTCCTCTTGTGCAGGAGGTACGTTATAGAGCTGTGTACCATAAATCCAAACATTCAAATTATCATTTAACTTTAATTAAACAAAAGAAGTGTCAGTAATTTTTGTCGTACAGGGAGAAGGATACTGGTGTGTGTGTGTGTGTGTACACACTATAATGTCATTCAAGTTATTTTTTATCTAGAGATGGTATCGTTTCATAATGCATGGAAATTACAGCATTATTTATCTTGATTGTTGGCTCCATCGTTGTATTCTGAGTCACCCATTTTTCTTGACGAGAGTGATTACCAATTTTAATGATCTCTTGTTATCTAAAAAATAGAACTTTCTGCGTTTGGTAGATGCGTATATGTTATGCTGTCGTGAGAGGGAGTGAATAACTTAATGGGGGCAGAAGTATCCTTGATTGGAAATGGTACTGCAACCACAAGAGCTAATAGACCTTGTGGCCTCTCTTTTTACCAAAATCAAACTAACCCAGAAATATAAAGCCCTCAATTCGCTTGATGGCAGTCACGTGACGACTCTCTCTCACCCATTCCCAACCACTTTTGTGACGTCTATTATATGCGACGGTTTTGCTTATCTATGCTATATATGTCCACTTATGGGCTCTTCGTTCAAACCACGTAGTGGCAGAAATACAATAGTTTTTTTTTCAAATATAAAATTAAAAAAATAGTAATTTTTAAATTCAGAATTATGGTATTTAATATTCATAATGTATTAAATTGTGTGATATTTTGTGAATTTTAATAAAAATTTATTGGGTCTTCATACGCAGATAAAAAATCATAAAATTATTTATTGTGGGATGTCTAAGGTGGGTTTTGGGTTGAGTTCAAGCGGTGGTGTTGGGACGCGTACAATTTTCAAATGGAAAGAAACAATACGATCAATGATTCAAAATTTAAACCTAATGGAACCGCAAGTTTGAATTCTGAACCTCTTACAACTTAGAAACAGGCCAAAAAGCAATAATGACAATAAAAGTTAAAAGGTGAGAAGAATGAATAAGGTGTAAGTTTGTGAATTCAAATTAATTTACGAACGAGAGCTATGTTATTATTAATGCAAAGCATTTCCTGAAGAAATAGGATTTGTAATTGTAATTTGTAAAAGCTAATTTAGCAACAAACTAACAATTTTAAAAGAATTTACCCAGATGAATCATCAAGGTATGGTTTTAAAATTATTTCCAATCTGCATCTTGTAAATACTTTAGTGAAAGAGAAAGCTCGGGGGAATTATGCCTAACTTATTACACAACCTTTTTGAATTTGAGAAGTGATAGTGATACAAATTTTTTATGCCTTCTTAACATTTCTTATTATTAAGTCATTTTTTGTGGTTATATGGTGATATATATATATATATATATATATATATATATAATTTGTTGCTTATTTTTCTCTTATAATGATCCCATTTCTTTAATCTAGGATGTGTTTAGATTAACATCAAATTCATTCATGAATCTATTTTAATATTATAAGTTATAAATTTTATGTTAAAATATTATTTAACATGATTTTTGGTAGGCTCTAAACACATTTCAAGTTGGATAAGAAACACTACTAAAGAAAACCAAAAGAATAAAAAATAAAAATTCACTCCTAATTAAAAAAAAATTTGTTAATTAATCAAATTGTATCACTAAAAATCGTTGGCTTTTATAATAATTATTTCAAAAGTTATATTTTAGATGTTATTTGATTAATTGGTAACTTAAAAATCTTTATACTATGATATATCAAAATAAAAATAAAAATTGTCTCATAATTTTTTTTTATCTCTCCTATCATCATTTTAATGTTAAACGAACAGTTACAGTTAAAATCGTCATGATAATAATAACTGTATTAGAAAAATAAATTATAAGGATACTTTAGTCTTTTTTTTATTTTAATTTGATCTTTTATTTTCATCTCTATTTAAGATTTTGAATTTTAATTTTTTTATTAATAAAAAATAAATTGTAGTTTCTATCAATGAAAAAACAACCAAAATTGATTAGTATAACTAAATTTAAACTAAAAGGAGATATAAGATTAGTATAAAATTAAAGACTAGATTAATAATTTTATAAACAAAATATCATTTATATTTTTTTCTAAACCTTTATATTTTTAATTTAAAACACAAGTATCTTTTATAACGTGGCTAGAGAATTTTTAATACATAACAATATTTTATACCAATTTTTTTTTAAAAAAAAGTATGTATCATTTAAATCAATTATCAATTATTTTTTTTCTATCTGATGATTATTTGCTTCTAGCTTATACCACGTAGGCAAACCAAATGCATTTAGAATTCAGATATATGGATTGAAATTTAAAATTAATTTACTTATTGTCTTTCAAATCTAGTTTACTAAAAATTAAACTTATTTTGAACTGGTTTTACAACTGTTTACTCAAAATTTAATATGTTAATGGTTGACATCTGTCAGACAGTGTTGGATGTCATTGACTTTCAAGTTAGAGAGAGAGATCAGTAGATCATTGAACCGGTTACAAGGGTATAATTAAAAGAAAAACCAGTCTAAAAGTAAAATGAGCCATCTAATTGGTTTTTCTAATTATCTGGATATTGTTCTGTAATTAGGATTTGATTTGAGCTAATATATTCAGATATCTCATTTCATTCCACCCTCGTAAGCACCACAGCATTTGTGTGTTTACTGAATTTTAGTTTATGTAGCAAAGATGTTTGGTTACTTTGCAATGTTAATTGTTAGTAATAATGTTACTGCCAAACGAATAAGGGAATAATTTTCTCTGCAGAAAACATTACACCTTGATACCCTTACAAATATTGCTTTCAATATATAATTTTCTTTAGAAAGGAGTTATTTAGTCATTCTATATCTAAAAATATTTTTACTTCACATCATCTAAATTAGTAACATTTAAAAGTCGATGAAGACAAAATAGAATAATGAAAACTAGGTTACGTGTGTCTTCCAATAATTCATGATAAGTCTGTGAAAAAAGAATTTGTTTGGTGTACAAATAGAACGATGAAATATGTTCTGTTTAATTTTCCTTAATGTCATTTTAAGTAAAATCAAACTATATAAACAACTATTTACTTTATTTTCTTTTT